AGATGCCCGTCCTTGACGTGGAGAATGTCGTCGTTGAAATGTGTCGAGAGGAGGGCACTTGGAATGCCGTCAGCAGGGCTGTCACTCAAATGCTGTTGGAGCTGCATCGTAAATTAAAAGACGAGCAGCGATCTAGTAACGCCAACTAGTGCTGAGAGTATGAGAAGTGCATGAGTACAGCCACCCTCCAAAGTAGTCACTTCACCGCCCAAGTAACTACAAGTTCTGATAAAAGACTTTTTGTGGCTTAAGCAGCTTGGTTGAAGGTGGTCTATAGAATTCTAAGCAGCCTCATTTTTAAGTCGTTATAAGAACTTGAAAGTTCCGGTACCATAATTGAAGAGCATTCTAAGCAACTTCTGGCGGAACTTGAACCGAACTTTTAGAAAATAAGTTTAAAAACAGGTCATCTATACCAATTTTATGAAAGTTATTTCTAATATTAGTATTAGAGCTGTTTGAAGAATTAGGGAACTTTTAAGATACTTTAAAGTAGCTAAGAAGTTCCGCTGGGAACATGTTCGGAACTTTGTTGTGGCCATGCTTTCAGCCTTGCCTGAAGTTCCTCAGAAGTGCTTAGGGATGCTTTTTGGAACTTTGTTTGAACTTCAAGTTGCTAGGGGTGCGCATCGGAACTTTATGGAACTTGAATGTGGGTTTTATCGTTGAATACGGAACTTTTCGTTGCTTGGAAAGAAAGTTCTGTCGGAACTTTATTCGAACTTTATGGAGCTTGAAAGTCTTGTTGGAGCTTGATTTGAACTTAATGGAACTTGAAAGTTCTGTCGGAACTTTATTTGAACATTGTGGAACTTGGAAGTGAGGTTTATCGTTTAATGCGGAACTTTTGGTTACTTGGGCGTGGTCCCAGGAGGATCGAGGCAGAGGAGAGAGTAGTAAATAGGCAACTAGTGGATACCCCCACCGTGCCAACTTCCCTACAGGCCAGACTTTTGAAAACGAAATTTGCGTATTTTACAATGAAATGGTCACATTTTTTAAACGAAAAGTTCAAGCGATATGTTTTACAAGTTCTTTCGAAACTGATGACAATTTTTTACAAATTTCATCGAAAATGGTCACAGCTCTTGTAAGTATCGGTCAGAATACTCAAACAAATCGATCATGTTTTTGACGTACACACTTAAATTTTTTCGCGGAGATTCCAACAGCCGAGTAGATCTGCAATTTATTTTGCTGAGATTCAGCAAAACAATTGCCGAGATTCAGCTAACAAATAACATTTTGCTGAGATATCAGCTAACAAACAGATATTTTGCAAAGATATCAACAAAAGTAAATGCCGAGGTAATCGGCTGTTGGAGATTTTACCGAGCTAGAATAAGTATGTAGACTACGTCTTACGGGAAAGTACAAGGGGTACATCGAAAATGTAAAATTGCAACCATCACGAAAAGGTGTTAGGTTTTGAACGCTTATAACTTTGTTATTTATAGTTGAAATTTAAATCAAAATACACCAATCGATAGGAAATAACTCTCCGAATCTTCTAAGACAAATAATTTTCTAATGTTACATAAAAAATACTTTTGAAAAATTTTCAAATAAAACGTGATAATTTTATTACTGTTTTCATTACACAAACGTTCTCCTCAAACCCAGTCGTCATAATCGAGTACCGCTTGGTTGCACATCGTTCTGCTTGAACTTGAAAAGTTATAAAACAGTACTGCTGTCGAGCCTCAACTCATGACATTCTCTGCTTGACCGTCAAGCAGTACAGTTCGGTTTTAGCTCGTGCTCTCGAGTTGTTCGGAAAGTTCGTTGCGATAGTGTTCGCGTTCTCTCTTTCACGGTGTTTGTGTGTGTGTGCTCCGAAAAGGGGAAGGACAAGGACCCCGGTGAAGAAAGCTGGGATCGAGATGGGAAATGACAGGTGGGCAGGAACTCACAGTCTCCCAGTGTTGGTGAGTTCTTTGCCGTTAATGTTCACGAAAAGTTCACTATTTTGCTATACAGAAATTCAAAACAAAATTTTTTATCTGCGGATTTGGACAGATTTTGACCTGTTTCATACTACCGGAAGGTGTATGCTGGTCACAAATGCCGTGCCAAACTGATTTCCTACTCAATTAATCAATCTTTGATGTGAAATTCGCTAATAAACACGAGTAGCATTTATTATAGCAAACATGCTATAACAAAATGGGCATGGTTCATTTAAGTAAACAAACTAACACTTCTTCCGACTGTGGCACCTCTCTTACTCGCCTGGAGCTGGGATGTACCCACGATGGAAAATGAACAGGTGGGCAGGAACTCACAGTCTCCCAGTGTTGGTGAGTTCTTTGCCGTTAATGTTCACGAAAAGTTCACTATTTTGCTATACAGAAATTCAAAACAAAAATTTTATCTGCGGATTTGAACAGTTTTTGACCTGTTTCATACTACCGGAATGTGTATGCTGGTCACAAATGCCGTGCCAAACTGATTTCCTACTCAATTAATCAATCTTTGATGTGAAATTCGCTAATAAACACGAGGCGCATTTCGTATAGCAAACATGCCATAACAAAATGGGCATGGTTCATTTAAGTAAACAAACTAACACTTCTTCCGACTGTTACACCTATGTATTAGCCGTCTCGGGATGTACCTACATCCAACAAGTTTGCTGTTCTTCCCATCGATGGGAATAACCAGTCAGCTGTGACGGAAAAGCGCATCAAGAAGAGGAAACGTGAAAAAGGCCTATGTTAACGAGTTCATCGAGTTAGGCGTCAAAGCCGGATTCAAGTTGGACAGAGTCGGCACCAATGTGGTGCTCCGTACAAAAACGGAGTATAACTTGGTCGTCACCCACCTGAGGACTTCCAATGTGGAATTCTTCACCCATGACATTCGCATCCCGGTGAGAAACCGTTCAAGGTCGTCATCAGGGGCCGACCAAACTTCAACCCGCAGTATATCGAAGCTGAAATCAGGGACCGATACAAGCTGGCCCCAAGTGCCGGATGACAAGGAGGGACGAAAATGTGAAGGCGTATCCGGATTCGCCATCACCATGTGACTCAGTGCCTCCGGTGTCACGCTGCGACAATTGCGCTCAAGACCATGCCACCTCCGAATGTGCTGCGGATGAAGCTGTGGCGCACAAAACTGTGGCGGTGCTCACCAAGGATCCGACAAGCAATGCCCTAAACACGAGTATTTCAAGCGTATTCGAAAACAGGCGTCCAGCAACAATCGACCAGGGCGAAGGAAGGATAAGGCCCCAGCTTTCAGCTACAATGTTTTCATAGATGTTTATCAATTTTAACAAGACATAAGAAAGTTATGTCTTTTATCTGAGAGTATATCTCCCTTAAGCAAAAATTGTCTACTCTCAAATAAAGTACCCAAAAAATGAAGAAACATGTCCCACTTTTTTTGATTTCGTCCCACTGTGCGGCACCGTTATTGATCTTTAAAATTTGGAGTCACTGAAGCTTGAGAATGGAAGTTCACTCCCAACCCCATTCAGTTAATTCATTGTGCAATTTAACTGGTTCTGATCAATCAAGGAGTAGCAACCATTTGATATTTACAGTAAGTCTAAGGCTGTGTTCCATTTGGTGAATTTTCACTTAAATTTGACACTTTGAAAATAAATTATAATGTTGGAAAATCCCTCTGTTGTTGATCGTCCGGTTTTCGAAAAGGTGTTTGTCAAAATTGATTCCTTGTCTGTCAAAAATAAGTCTGGTACAATAGCAGGTTCATTTTAAAATTTTCCATACGTCAAATTTAAGGGAAATTCACCAAATGGAACACAGTCTAAGCTAACATTTAAGTATTTCCTAACTAAATATAACTGGTATTTCAAACATTTACTATTTAAATTCATCAATCACAAATATGACTGTATCATATGAAATCACGTTTTGAAGCAGCTGCTTTGGTAAAAAATCAGTCATTAACAAGACTGAAAAAATATAGCCTTAAATAGTTTATTCTATAGAAAATAATTGTTTCTTTTCAATCTTTTTATGTTGATTGTTGACCCTTCTTAAATCCTTATGAAAACATAATACTCTACCGGTTGTGTACAAGGGCGCACATACACCGATTGGGTGCTCAATTTGCCCCAACGGTTTTATTTTGGTTACAAAACGAACATTTTTAAATCTTCTTGCATGAAAAATTAAAAAAAATCATTCGGATTTTCCACTGAAATTTGTATGATTTTTGATTAGTGATGATTTTCTTAAGGTGACCAAACTACCCCACTTTCCTTTTCTAGTGAAGTTTAACCTCGCCTCACAAAACTCATTTTATATATAAAATTGCCTTAAAAAACTTCTTCTCAAATTGGATTTGCTAATTAAGTGTAATCGTGTTAAATTTGCTCAAATGTAACTCGAATCTGATTGATGTTTTGATTCTATAACCGATGCTGCAGCTGTAAAGTGTATCAGGTAACGTTCATGTAACTCTGCAAATGAGGCTATACATATGTATTTATACCTATGAAAAAGTTGCATTGTTTTCACTTTTTGGCCAATCTCTCCGGTGTTGAAAATTTCATGCGCATTTACTGCTAATGTAAAAAATATCTCCGATACAAAAAAAAATAATGATTTCGACCGTGATGACGTTCTGCGAAAATTGCCAGATAAGATAGCACCCACCCCGCACAGTGCCATAGATAATTGAACATGTATTTATTTACCTGGCCCATCTGGCTTTTGTTCACCGTGAAAACCGAGCAGATGATGGTCCAAAAACTCACAACATTCCTATATTGACAAATCAAATCAAATCGAGTGGAAAGTGGAGTGTATCTTCTCTGTTCGACTGTTCAATGTTTGATAAAAAACAACAGACCTCCAATTAGGTGTTAAATTAATTGCATTAGATAACACGACGACGGACAAACAATGAATGGGAAGTCAATTTGATTTTATGTAAGTTTTCAGAAGAAATGCAATCGTTGTAATTCAAAACATGATCAAGTTTTTCACTGCCACGAGGCTACTTTGTTTTTTTTTTGTGCTTACCTTATTTTCCCCTGTTGCTCCGTATGTGCCTTCGAGAAAGACAAAAGTCGCCTAAAGGTCGCCACTTCCACTATTACCGATTTATTGGACACCGTGCCGAGCAAGTTGGACTCGCAGGGAAACAACAACAACACCAACAAAAACAGTAAAATAATAACACACAGAGGTCCAAAGATAGAACCTTGATTCAGCTGAACACACCAACACAACCACCTTGTGGTTTCCTCTTCTTCCTTTTTTTGTTTTGGTGTGTACTTCAATAAGAACCTGAAAACACTATAGCCAAAGCATTCACATAAGCTTCGCCTGAAGAACGCACTTTTTAGACTCCGCGGAGAACTTTAGAGGTCTCTCGATCGTGTGGGGTATTATTATTGTTATTGGTGATTTCCTTTTCTTCTGCACGTTTTTCTCTTTTACTCTTCCCGAAATTCCGGTTTTCTAGAAACCCTCGCGCGCGCCTTCACTTACTAACGTTGGCCGTGTTCACCGTTTACCTGTTGCTACGATACTGACTCATCGAGCGGAAAGGTGGCTCAAGCAAAGCCTACTACGGTTACTCTCGCGGCGCGTCACTCACTCTCTTGTCTTCTGTTTCTGGAGCTGCTCCGGAGTTCCTTCTCTGTGCAGAAGGCCGTTTGTATGGGTATGGTGTATGCCTTACTTGACCATCTTCACATCTTACCACAAACCGCCGACAACCTGTTTCTGAGATATCGAATCGCACAGAATGATCGCCATGCATTGTGGGGTGCATGGAGAGTATAAGGACTCTCACGTAAACAGCTCTTGTGCTTTGTCGCCGCGAACGCGATAGACGCGTCGTCGAGTGCATCAAGGAGAACGGAGGACAACCTTAGCCGAAAGCGTTCAACTTTGAGTGTTTTGGTTGGATTTTACAGGTTACGAATGGATTTGTTTTGATAGGTAGAACCGAGCCGACAGGGTATGAATATTCATGGAAATGTTGGGGATATTTTAAACTTTGCCAAGTTCAGCTACCATTGCCATGTTATATGAGGAAAAGAAGTTTTATTCATGAATAGGCTATTTCCGTCTCAAAAAAATAGAGGAAAGACAGGGTCCACTATCTGATTTGCAAATCGTGAAGAATGTGTTATAGCAAGTGGAAAAATAATAGATTTTATGTGACTTTTACAGAAATTCAATCAACTCTCCACAATTCGATGTTCTATTTAGCTCGGTGGATTCGGTGGTCCCTTCATTTTTTCTATGTATCGTACTCGCCAAAAGTCGATATTTCCACAAGTCGATGCCTCCTTTGGTTGATGTTCTGTGTAGTGTTATTTTGATTCTATAAATCGATATTTCCATACCATGATACCCATCGGTAAAATCAGCACATGTTTCTGGTGTCCTTGGGAAAATGGTCCTTATCAAAATTCAAACTTGAGTACTTAGGGCAAACGTGTCAGGTGTGACAACGAGATCAAAAAATAAACGTTTTCATATGTCTTCGCCTCTAAAATAAAATCAGAAAATAGGTACAGTCAGGAATCCTTATTTCCGGGGTAACTGGGGCGTGAATAAGGAACCGCAAATAAGGATACCCACAGCTTATATGATTTTCACTAGTGGGAGCTGTGGCGGATTATCTCATTTGTTACAATATATAGAACTATACTGTCTTCGACAAAGTTGTTGTAATGAGATAGACCAAGCCTGTGTCATTGGATTTAGGTTTAATTGGGAACTACGCCGCTAGGGACGCTTCACTTTTATGTTACTTATGACGGGTGCTATAATATATGGATCTTAGGTCCAACATACAATATTTCGTGATCATGGCCATATAGAAGGTTACTGTCTTCAGCAAAGTTGTTCAAGTGACCAAGTCGTTTCGGATGGTGGCCATATTAGTTCAGAACTATCTCACTACGCAGCGCTAGTGTGCACATGAGTTTCCTATATAAGCTGTATCTCAAAATCCTGGCCATATAGAAGGTTACTGTGTTGAGCAAAGTTGTTCAGGCGACCAAGTGCTTTCGGATGGTGGGCATAATAGTTCAGAACTCTCTCACTACGCAGTGCTAGTGCGCATGTGAACTTCCTATATAAACTGTATCTCGAGAACCTGGCCATATAGAACGTTGCTGTCTTTAGCAAAGTTGTTCAGGTGACCAAGTGCTTTCGGATGGTGGTCATATTATTTAAAAACTCTCTCACTACGCGGCGCTAGTGTGCACATGAACTTTCTTAATATGTGTTATATCCGTAACCAAGGCCAACAAGTAAAACAAGCTGTTGTTAAGAGCTACTATTTATTACGTCTATCTTGGTTGTGTGGGAATCCCAGCGCAGGTGTACACAGGTTATCTAAACCGAACTACCGGACAATAAACACCCGTCCCGGGAGTCACGTGATAACGAAGAAAAATAACAACCGCGGACTACGTTCTACGTGCGTCTTTATTTACAAGTTACAATGGACTAGTCAACAAACATAAATTGTACACACATCAGCAATTTATGCTTCGTCAGTCTCTCACTCTCACGCACTCATACACACTCATACTGGCAGCTGTCATCAACGTTCCCGGGGGCTGCTATAGACACTCTTGTTGATAGACACGCGTCCAGGGGCATTCACTACTTACTTCCAACACTCCTCCTTAGTGAAGCCCACTACTGCATCTACTTACAGCACTCCTCCTGCTTTACGTTACTACTGGCTGCATCAGGTAGTATAGTCCTCCGTTCCTATCACCGACAGCGACAACCTTGCCAGCTTTCAATATTCTGCAGTCCTTCGCACCAAACAGCACTTCGTAGCCATTGCTGGTTATTCGACTCACCGACAGCACACTTCCAGATAATCCAGGAACGTATAGCAATCCATTAAGCTTCATATCTACAGCTCCGCCTTCCAATACGACACCTGTGATCCTTCCTTGACCACTTCCTCTTGCCTTTACCGTTCTTCCGTCCGCCAAAGTCACCTTCTCTTCACAGAACGTCATACTGTCGAAGCTCACAGTCGATCCAGTCATGTGCTTCGAACAGCCAGTGTCGATGATCCAACGATCGTCAACCGACACATCACTTGCAGTCGTCGTCGTGAAACACACTCCTCGACTACTGCCACTGCTACCGGCATCCGATTGCTTGTCCTTAACCACCATCGACTTCGTTTGGTTTTGTTGCTCCTTTGCATTCCTCTCCGCTAGCAACAGAGGACAATTTCGCCGCAAATGTCCTTCCTGTTTACAGTAGTAGCAAACCCGAACAACGCTTCTTCTTTCTTCCATTCGTACTGTGGTTTTCAGCGCCCTCTCTTCTAGCTTTTCGTGCACTCGACGTTCGCATCTTCTCCGCCACTCATCCAGAAGCTTACCTTTAACGTAATCCAGCTTCAAGTCTTCTTCCGGACGACCTTCCAGAGCAGTGACGAGTGGGTTGTACATCTCCGGAAAACTCGATAACAAAATCGCCACAACCAGATGCTCTTTCAAAGCTTCTCCCATGCTTGCTAGTCGATGCACCAACTCCGACACTTGGACTAGATGTTCAGACATACTGCCATTTTCCGTTAGACGCATCGAGCACAACCTCCGCAACACATGGATCTTGTTTGATAACGATCCTCGCTCGTGGTAGCCTTTGACCTTGTCCCACATCTCCTTTGCACTAGCAGCTCCCATAATGTGGCACAGCTGACCATCTTCTAGCGCCAAACCGATCGTCGCTCGAGCCCTTTCGTTGTTCCTTGTCCAAGCTAATGTAACCACCTCCGGCTTCGCGTCAATAACCGTTGTCCACAGATTGTCCTTGAGCAGCAACAACTCCATCCTAAATTTCCAGCTTGCCCAGTTGAAATCGTTCAACCGGTCTAATACAATCTTTGATTCGGCCATTGTTCACGAAAAAAAAACACTACGCGCAGTCGGGCAAAGAAAACAACTTCACAATCGAGAGAACAAAAAAAAAACAATGTTCACAATTCGATACTTTCCACAAAGTTCTTTGTTCTTTCCGATTCCACTATATAAGCTTTTTCGAACGAAGCGTATCTTCTTCAGTCAAAAAAAAATCGCACTTTTTGAAATCGGACCAGCAAACAACAAGTTTACACTTCAGCCCGTACAGGAGAGAAACACAAAAAACAAAATTTCTCCTCCTCGAACAAAACAGACGCAAAGCAGTCCACACAAAATGTCTCCTCCAGCGGAAAACACTTTTTCACTATTATTTTCTTCACGAATCTGGGCCCATAACCTGTGGGAATCCCAGCGCAGGTGTACACAGGTTATCTAAACCGAACTACCGGACAATAAACACCCGTCCCGGGAGTCACGTGATAACGAAGAAAAATAACAACCGCGGACTACGTTCTACGTGCGTCTTTATTTTTCAAGTTACAATGGACTAGTCAACAAACATAAATTGTACACACATCAGCAATTTATGCTTCGTCAGTCTCTCACTCTCACGCACTCATACACACTCATACTGGCAGCTGTCATCAACGTTCCCGGGGGCTGCTATAGACACTCTTGTTGATAGACACGCGTCCAGGGGCATTCACTACTTACTTCCAACAGGTTGGTGGTTGGATAAAGAATCCATCTCTAACTTATGACAGTCAGGCAAGGCCTACTACATCTAGGCGTACTACATCTCCCCCTTGTAGAAAATGTCATAGGAAGAGAGCCATCTTGGAATTCTTGATTCTCCTACAGAACGTCGAATAAAGTCTCCAACCGCATCAGATGACACGGGCTTTTGTGCGGACTGAAGTTCTCCATCTTGAGCAGCAGGTTCATGATCGATTGTCGAAAAAGGATTTTCGCCAGACGTACTTGCCACTTGACCATCAGCTTCGAGTGATACGGAACCAACAGGAATAGGGACATCGTGATTGAATGGCACTTCTGGATCCAACGGTACAGCTTCATCTTGAATTTCATCAAGCAGGATTTCCCATGGTAGTTGCTGCGTCGCTTGCTCTGGATCATCAGAAGTGTGACGAGGGCGCATTTGGTTTACATGCGACCTCACCAGCTTCGGTCTCCCGTTCATGTCCAGTGCAACGATATAGTTGACGGAACCTTTCCGTTCGATGACTCGACCAGGAATCCAGGACTTGGCGTTTCTGCGATGCTGTTCAACGTAGACCAGGTCATCTTCTTCAGACTCGCGCTTGACTGCTCCATGCCGCCAATTGAACTGTTCGTTTTGTTTGTGGTTCTTGACAGCTTCAGTTACAGGAACAGGTTTCTTCAGTAGGTCCAAAGTGGTGCGCACTGGTCTTCCGAGGAATGCTTCTGCTGGAGACGTCGACTGCGGTGTGTTTCGGTTTGGGATTGAACGATACACCGAAAGGAATGTCTGCAGGTGCTCCAGAGTGAGTGATCCTTCCCCCTTGGCTAACTTCTTGAGGCCACGCTTGAGTGAATCAACGAATCGCTCCGCTTGGCCGTTGGACTGCGGGTGATAGGGAGCAGTGCGGAGATGGGTGATACCATTTGCACGGCAATACTGTTGAAACTGCTCGCTGATGAATTGCGTTCCGTTGTCTGAGACCAATGTGTCTGGGTTGCCGTAACGAGAAAACGTTTCACGCAGCATATTCAGGGTTGCAGTTGTGGTAATGGATTGAGTGCGAAAAATTTCGGGCCACTTAGAGAAAGCATCTACCATGACGAAATAGTAGTATCCATGGATCGGACCAGGAGAGGCCATGACTCCAAGGTTGCTTTTGTCGAGGACTTCGCTGCTTCAGCACATGCAGTGCACTGACGGACAAATTGCTCCACATCGCCGTCAACGTTAGGCCAGTAGATGTAACTTCGGGCCAGAGATTTCATTCGGTCCATTCCTGGGTGTCCACGATGCAGTTGACGAACGATCCGCATCCGAAACTTTGATGGGACGACGATTCGATCGCCGAACATAACGCAGTTGTCGACAACTTGAAGTCCATCTCGTCTGGCGAAGAACTTCTTGACATCAGGATCAGCAACTTGCTTCGCATTTGCTGGCCAACCTTCGTTAAGGAAATTCACCACTTGCTGAAGAACTGGATCCTTTCGCGTCTCAGCCACAATCATCTGGTGCGTGACTGGAAGATTGCTGATGGTGTCGTCGAGAATTGCTTTTACTTTAGATTCGACGCACACGGCGGCTATGACGTAATCCTCATCTGGTCTATGCTGCGATGACATTAGCCGGGATAGAAAATCTGCATAGCCAAAATTCGTCGATGAAACGTGTTGGATGTCGAAATCGTACAGCAGAAGTGTCAAGGCCCAGCGCTGCAAACGGCTTGCTGTGTAAACAGGAATACCTTTCTTTGAGCCGAAAACCTTGAGCAGCGGTTGATGATCGGTTTGCAGGAGGAAGTGTCATCCATACAGCATTTTGTGGAAACGGGTGACAGCGAATATCAGGGCCAATGCTTCCTTCTCCACTTGTCCGTAGTTCATCTCTGCTGGGGTCAGTGAGCGCGAGGCGTGCGCAATTGCCTTCACTTCACCGGTCGGGAATCGATGCATGATGACAGTGCCAAGGCCGTACTTTGATGCATCTGCTGCAACAACGGTTTCCTTTGACGGGTCGTAGCGTGTAAGCAGCAGGTCGGAAAGTAGAATGGCCTTGAGCTGCTCGAAAGACTTCTGGCAATCTTTGGTCCAGTTCCAGCGTGCATCTTTCTTGAGGAGGCTGTCCAGAGGAGCCCTGAGTTGCTTCATCTGCTTAACGAATCTACCATAGTAGTTGACAGCACCGAGGTAGGAACGGAGTTGCTGGACATCATTCGGAAACTGCATCTTGGAAATGGCCGAATACCGTCCTTATCCACGATGTGTCCGAGAAACTTGATCTGGGAGAGTGCGAAACGACATTTTTCGAGGCGTAGGTGAAAGCCATACTCACGGATCTGCTCGAGAACAGCGTAGAGACTGCAATCGTGTTCCTGCTTGGTGCGACCAGCGATGCGGATGTCGTCCACATACGGCTTGACTCCTGGGCTGCCGGCCACCATGCTGTCGATGATGCGCTGGAAAGCGCCGGATGCCGATTTGACTCCGGGGGGTAGTCGGTTATACTGGAACAGTCCACGATGCGTGTTGACCGTGAGTAGCTTTCGCGATTCCTCCTCGACCACGACCTGTAGATAAGCGTCAGACAAATCGAGATGAGTGAAGTAACGTGCTCCAGCTAGTTCCGCAAAGAGGTCGTCAGGATGAGGCAGTGGATGATGGTCACATTCTAGCGCGTTGTTCAGCCCCGTCGAATAATCGCTACATACACGGACTGATACATTGTCCGACTTGCGTACGACGACTATTGGTGCTGCCCAGTCCGAGAATTGAACTGGAGAAATTATACCGTTTTGCTGGAGCCTCTCAAGTTCTGCGTCCACCTTGGCGAGTGCAGCGTACGCTACTGGTCGTTTCGGGCAATATGCAGGACGTGCGTCAGGCTTGAGGTACAACTTCACTTGCGCTTTTGTGCATCTACCCAGCGTGCTTCGAAAAACTTCCGGAAACTGTTGCTTGAGTTGATTGGTGAACTGATCAGAACGTTGGTGTACGACGTTGACCAAGCTGCTTATCGGCACAGACCACAAATCGAACAGATCCATAGTCTCGATTCCTAGAACGTTGAGTTCAGCGCTGCTTGAGATGAAAATGCGACCAGTCTTGGTAACATTCTTGATGGTGATCTCGGTCTGGAACTCAGCGAGAAGGTTGAGATTGCCACCAGAAGCTGTAACTGCAGATTCTTCCGTCGGTTGAGTGGGTGGCTGTCCGATGCTGATCCATGTTTCTTCTGAGATTATGGTGATATCGGACGCCGAGTCGTGTTGAAGTTTGACTGCTACACCATTGAGCTCGACCGGGATGAACTTCCGCTTGCTTCCGATGTTGCGAACCGTGTAGATGCTTTTTGTCTTCACGTTCTCTTTGGATTTGGTCTGTTTGAACGGTTTCGACGGCGCATACTTGTTGCTGTTGCAATATAACCTTCCTTGTATCCTTGTTGCTTGCATCTGGAACAGGTGTGCGAAGCGAACGGACACTCACGAACATAGTGCTGGTCGCCACACTTCCAACATGGCGTTTTCGGCACTTTTTGGTTCTTTTGACGTAGGACTACGTCTTTGATTACTATATGGGGGTACACTTTGTGAAAACCGAAAATGGACATGTAACAAATTAAGAAAGATTTTGAACGTTAATAACTCAGCTGCCCCTGGTCCAATTTCAATAATTTTATCACCAATCGATCAGAAATATGGCTACGCATCGATAACAATGCTCCCGAATGTTGATTTTCACAAGAAACTATTGAAAAACTGGTAAATGTCCAGCATTGTCCAAAAGCGTCGAATTAACTAACAAATCCACCAATTACCTACATGCATATGCTGCTTCCCCAGCACAGTCATCAGAGAGTAGTAAGTAGACAAAACAAGTCAAAGTGGCATTCGCCTCCGATCCTCGGGCGCGTGCTAATAGGGAGGATGGAATTGCGTAATATTCAGAACCAAACGCAAATTCTTCAAGATAACAACCATCCGTCGTCTGGCTCGCCGTGGCGGTGTCTGACGTATCTCCGGTCTGATTTACGAGATGTGCTGAAGGTGTTCCTGAAAAATGAGATCCGTGATGCTGTCACCTACACTAAACACGCCAAGCGTAAGAGGCTATGGATGTCATCTACGTTTTGAAGTGACAGAGACGCACTCTGTTTGGTTTCGGAGGTTAAATCATCACCAACTTTGGCAACAAAACGGCTCTTTTCAGGGCCACCAAGCTTATTACAGTAAAGAGTAGGAATAGAATTCATCTGCCTGTTAGACTATATTCAGAACCAACGATCACACAAAATGCTCATGTAATCAAACTGGAAGCAGGGGTACAAATTATTTTGATCAACTTTGAATCGCCACGGCCGGATATTTTCGATGCAAGAAGCAACAATCTAGCATCTAATACGACGAAGACGGCAGGAAACATTTGTGAAGCCGAGTTTTTTACGAAAGAGAGTGTCGATGAAGAGAATCAATCAATGTAGATAGGACATGTTGAAAAGTGACACAAGATATGTTTTCCGTACTGAGCTCCAATGCTACCGACAACAGGGAGGCAGCTCCCACATCTGGACCCTACCAATCGACCCATCAACTCAACCGGGGACCAACCGAGGGGGGCGACACATCTAAATCTCAAGTTTAGATGGTCAACAAATCTCACACTAGCGAATCAATCTTCGAACAATCTTCTTTCAAACCAAATGGCCAAATGGCTAGTGAAGGAATTTCAAAATATGCCTAAACCCTTTTCCACTCGCTCAGTTAACAGCACACAGGAATTCGCAAGTCAGCTTCAGGCATCAGGAGAGATTCGGGAAGATGAAGTCATGGTTTCATTTGATGTCACAGCACTTTTTCCGAGTGTACCAGTAAAGGAAGCCATCAGCTTTTTAGAGGACTGGCTTCTGAAGCAACGTGAGGATTCCACTTGGAAAAACAAAGTTCGGTCATATCTCAAGCTTACTCGTCTTTGTATGGAGGAAAATTATTTCATTTTCAGAGGAAATTTCTACAAACAAACTAAAGGCGCTCCTATGGGCAATCCGCTTTCTCCATTTTTATGTGAATTGTTCATGGCTAACCTAGAAAATACTCTGGAGGATAGGAATTTGTTGCCCAAATGTTGGTATAGGTACGTGGATGACATCTTTAGCATTGTCAAAAGGGAAGATTTATCAAAAACTTTGGAGGCCATAAGCAACGTTCACAAGGACATCAAATTTACTCACGAAGAAGAGAGAGACGGCAAACTCCCCTTCTTAGATCTTCTCATCATCAGGGAAACGTCTTCGTTCAATTTCGAAATCTATAGGAAACAAACAAACACAAAGAGAGTAATACCAAGCACTTCAAACCATTCCCATCAACACAAAATGGCCGCTTTTCACCACATGGTTCACAGGATGCAAACTCTTCCTCTTAGTGATACAGGCAAATCAAAGGAAATAGCTCACATTTTTGAAATCGCTAGACTTAATGGGTATCAAGAAAAAACAATTCAAGCAGTAATCGATAAAAGAACAAGGGATCATTTTAGGCGTATTTCGACAACTCTTACTCCAGTAACTGAGGGTTTAAAACGGGTAGCGGTGAATTTCGACAAAAACATTACCAAACCATTGATTTCAAAGTTTAGAAGTTTTGGCCTCGATTTAGTATTCAGCAGTAGGATAAATCAGCTGAAGTCACTGTTAGGATCAACTAAGGATTCAATAAATGTCTTAGGGAAAGCCGGAGTCTACAAAATCTCTTGTCCAGATTGCAATAAAATCTACATTGGTCAGACGAAAAGGACTTTGGAAACAAGGTTTAAGGAACACATCGCAGAGGTAAAAAAGGCTAACAAAGAGATAGATAAAGGGCTTCATTATGAATTTAAATCCAAGGTTGCAGAACATATCGTTAAAAAGGGGCACAATTTGACTAAGGAAAACATTAATATCCTGCGAACTGTATCTTCACCTTGGAAACTAGACGTAGCCGAAAGTCTAGAAATATTTAAACATAATCCATCAACATTGCTTAATAGAGATCAAGGAAACGGATACTCGAGACTCTTTAGCATGCTACCTAAAACAACACATCGTAGCATGCATCTACCTGTTGGAGACTGAATTTAGGTACATGGTTAGGTAAATTTTGACATGGCAGTGGATACCTGCTGATTTTTAGTACCTATTGATTAGTATATAACTCGTAGATTAAAGATGGATTCTTCAGTGGTGTTGAGTACTTGGCACTGATGAAGTCTGCAAGTAGTAGACGAAATACGCGTATCTGTCAAAAGATAAGCAATTATAACGGAATTAAAAGGAAATAAACCAACCCACTCAAAGCTCTTCACAATCTTCTTTCATTTGTCGCATCTACTTGCATCGCTCATCAATTTTTTGCAGGAAATCTTCAGAATCGTCATCAATCTTCTTTCTATCTACTCAGCGTGCGCGCAGCTAGCCACAGCAAAACACAATCTTTTTTGCATCGTAGATAGAGTCGTCCCCCTCGGGACCAACGGCTTTACTTCCCGAAGGAAGGCGTAAACAGAGATGTTATGCCTTAGAACATGCCGGTGGCGCCGACTGAGATTGGACCCAGGCCTGCTGGAGTGAGAAGTAATCACGCTAACCATCGGCGTAATCATGCTCACCATCTTTCAAGGTGATATCACGGCGAATGAGATCGACCCAAATTTGAGTTTAGTTATCTCAGAAATAAGAAATAAAGTGCAGGAACTCAGCAATGAGTAAATTTGCCTCTTGTTTTCCCAGGGAAAAATTCCAGAATTTGAAAAAAGAAAAGATTGGATTCACTCAGTATATTGAAACTACTCCGAGACTGAATAAAATTTTCGACAATTTCCTCATTTTCTGGCAGATTTTTTAGGTTTTCCACAGGAAACCATGAGACAAATTTACTCATCGCTGAGTTCCTGCACTTTTGGCGATTTATGAGTGAACTAATCCCAAATTTGGGTCGTTCTCATTCGCCGTGTATGCAAAAGGAAAAGAGCCAGTGTCGCTACTTGATAGCAAACTACTGATAATGGGAGGAGTCTTTGCAGCTTTTATACAACTTGGTTGCAATAGCAGCAGTAGGAAGGTGATGGCTAGTCCACTCCTTTACACCTAACAAGCAACAATTGACTGGTCGTGGCAAAGGAGGAAAAGGTTTGGTAAAGGAGGCGCCAAGCGCCATCGCAAAGTTCTTCGAGATAACCGCCATCGGTCGTCTGGCTCGCCGTGGTGGTGTCAAACGTATCTCCAGTCTGATCTACGAGGTGTGCTGAAGGTGTTCCTGGTGCTGTCACCTACACTAAACACGCCAAGCGTAAATGGTCATGGATGTCCTCTTCAATAAAACGGCGCTTTTCAGGGCCATCAAGCTTAAATCAGTAAAGAGTTGGAATAGAATTTATCTGTACTTGTTTGTCCATATTCAGAACCACAAGCCTCCAACGATCACACAAAATGCTCTCCAGAGTTGTAATTCTTGAAACCAAACTTGGAAGCAGGAGTGCAAGTGATTTTGATTGATTCTCTTATCAACTTTCTCTTTGAAAAAGATTACTACACATTTGGTACGCCTACAATTAAAAAATCGAAAGAGTTGAGATAATAGATATTTGATCAATTAAAAGAACTAAATGCTCTTCACATTTATTCCGTCCACTAGCGGTCCTACGTCAAGCTTCCGTTCGTGCCCCTAGGCACAGACCCTTTTACTTTTTTAGGCAGAATTATTCTGGTTGCGAGAAACAATGTTGACGTTGCGTGCTTATTTGTTCTCCACCATCAATGTGTCCTGCTTGAGATCGGCCACGAGATGGCATTCTTCCACGAGGTTCTCCAGGGTTACCTTGCTGGTGGCTTCTCCCAATTCGTTGACTGCGGTTTCGTCGGCTTCCAATTTCGAGATCAACCTAGCTCGTATGTCCGCATCCCGTGGCGATTGGAGTCCACAGACGAAACGGAGAGCTTTGAATTGGTCCGGTGTGAGCTTGGACAGCTGAAACGCTTCACAGTGTTTGTTCACCATGGCAGCATACGATGTGAAGTCATCCGCGTCACTTTTTGCATACTGGAGGCACTGGACCGAACAGTTTCTTCAGTTTCGTGACGGTTTCGTCCAGGGTGAAGTCCCGGGGATGCTTGGGAAGAATGGTGTTGACGTACTTCTCGTGCAGAGGCGTGCTTAACTTGCGAAGAAGCAATCTCACACGAGTGGCGTCATCCAGGGATTGGCCGTCCTTTGTAAAGACATCCTCGTACCTCGCATACCAGTCATCGAAGAAAACTCCTCCGTCCGGATCGTACTGGAAATCCTGGATCCCGCTTGCCAAGGACTCAATAATCTTCTCACTGCCAGCAGTCGGATTTCTTCGATTTTCCAGGTAATTGTTATATCCGCAACCAAGGCCAACAAGTAAAACAAGCTGTTGTTAAGAGCTAGGAATG